CTGGCTCTTGCTTGCCCTGTTGTGAAGGGAAAACACCACAGTAGAGTCTGAGAAGCAGTGATGTCGAAGGCCTGCAGTCAGAGAAGCCCTGGCCACCAGAATTTTGACAGCACCAAAATCTAGAGGTGAATCTACTTGTGAATATTTGGAAAATTAATAGCAGTGCTTCCCACCCTAATTCACTTTGCTTTTTTTGGAAAATAGAATTTTCATTCATTCATTCATTCATTCATTCATTTTGCAGGAGGAATACCATATTCACCTCCTTTCTTTGTGGTGGTTTCCACTCACGTCTCAAAGCCAAGTGGGAGGGAGATGGTGCAGTTGGCTCCGGGTATCGACATTTTAGCTATGGCTCTGCCTACATCTTTTCTCAGGGACAATGTTTTGTGCTCAGATCAGTGAGATACATTGCTCCGAGAAGCTTTGTGATAGAAGTTCTGAATTTTATACTGACAATTGTTTCCAGTAATGCATGAGTTGGGAGTTGCATTTCATTTGGGGAAGCCTGGATAGCTGCATATTTCCTTTGGAAATTCTCATGTGGAAACTCTTGCTATACTACAATAGAGTATGCATGGTGTTATGTAGGAAGGCAAGGAGACCTAAAGCTACTGGTAGATGTTTCATGATTTGCAATAGATTAGCAAGGGATTCATGAGCTCAAATTGTGAACAAGGGCAGTAATCAAAAGATTTTCCTGTTTAAATGAAGAAGAACTGGTGTGACTTGTAGATGATGTTTTGGTAGAACTGCTGTGTGCCCCTTAAATTCTAAAAATGAGCTCAATTCCCCCTCCCCATAAAACCTATAACTCACAAGTTCAATCCACTGCTGGTGAGCAGTGGATCCCAGTCTTGATTCCCCCAGATGCTGTTGGACTGCACTTCCTAATATCACCAGCCAGTATGACAAATGGTCAGGAATAGGGATTACAGCCCAACCACATCCAGGGAATCCTTTGCTAGAATATGTAAATATAATGCAACCCAGCATGTCTCTGTATATATAAGAATGAATGATCTGCATTATTTGCATAAGATGTGTAACCAATCAGATTCTGTCTAGTATCAACCAACAGGTACTTAGAGGACTAACTAACAGATATAAGAAAAAGTGATAGTGTGAGGCTTGTCCGTTGTTGTGTAGATGTTCAGTTAGGACTGTCTCCTGCTAATGGCCTGCTGTTAGCAACAGTTACTAAAGAGATTATGAAACTGTTACAAGAAGTGTGTCAAACACAAACCAAATAAATCTATACCAAGTCAAATTTCAATTATTGTTAATTTATTCTTCAACATACTTTTCAATAAATATTCTTAAAGTTTACTATGACTAAATGATTACACTTCTCCCTTCTACAATGCTGGGGTCTGGGGCGATGGACCCTGTGTAGTTCAGAATCCATATATAACTCTTATGCCCTCCCAAATGTAACTACGAATCACAAACAGCTGTTACACACAGAGACACAATTTCTTTCTGTTGGGGTTCTCTTCCATAGCACTGACAATCTTTTCCCATATAGTAATGTCTACACAGTACTGTACAGGAAATAAAACTTAAAGGTCCTTGTGACCCTCAATCTAGATGCTGAAATAGAGATGTTGTGTTTGGGGGCGAGTAGACAATTTTGATGCCTTCTCTGTTGAATGCTTGGGGTTCTGGGTGGCCACGAGCACAACATTTATTGAATAAATACTGATTGATTGATTGATTGATTGATTGATTGATTGATTGATTGATTGATTGATTGATTGATTGATTGATTGATTGATTGATTGATTGGCTGGCTGGCTGGCTGGCTGGCTGGCTGGCTGGCTGGCTGGGGGAAAATCTGTGTATCTATTCTCTTTATATATAGTGTGAATATAAAAATTTAGTGTAAATATAAAAAACAGATCATCAATAATATTAAAATATTGTTCATGATGTGTGTGGGTTTTTTATATTCACACTTAATTTGCTGTGTAAAAACTCTCTGAATGAGAACATCAAACTGCATTTATAGAAGGACATTCAGTCATGATCTTCATTCAGCCAATTCACATCAGTGTCCTTCTCCTGCCTCACAACTTTGCGACTATACATATTTACTTAAGGTCCTTGTAGGAAAAGGTGTGTGTGGATTAAAAATGTAATATAATTAATGCATCTATCATGAAAATCATTGAAAACATTATGCTCCCAGAAAGATGCCATTGAACACATGAGAACTGCAGGTTGTCAAGGGTACAAAGACTCTCGTGGCAGCTAAATATGTCTCTTAAACCTATTTATTTTACTCCTTCATTAGCACCAAAGGTTACCAGTGAACGGACTAATTTCTTCTCATTTCTCTTTCTTCTTTCTTGTGAAGAAAATAAGTGCATGCCAAAGCTCAGGGACCGCCCCCGCCCTCCTCCTCTCAAGCAGGAGAGGGAAAATGAAGGGGTTAGAACAGCTGTAGTAGCATTGATACATTCATCGTCTTTTTAGGTCATTTCCCTTCTAGCTTATTACTTAGAAAGTTTTGTGCTTTTAAAATAGAGAAGTTTAAACATATTTTTAGCATGGAGGACAGGATTTGCTGAAGTTTACTGTTTATTTTTGACATTATTCTCTAAAGGCCTGCAGCTGCCCCTAAGCCTCCATCATCCACAGTATTGTGGGCTTTACACGCTTCCCTTTGGCACAATAGCTCAAATCCTGTTACTTATTGTAGTAAATCTGGGGATTTGGTGCACCAGGTCCTCTGTAAGTACCATTGATACAAAAGCCTAATGTGACTGGGATTTGAGTCAATGGGACTTATGGAGGAATTGATTCACTAAATCCCCACTAATTCAATAAGCCTACCCTGGTGCAATTTACTATACTAAGTAACAGGATTTGGGTCATTGTGTCAAAGGGAAGTATGTAAACCCCCACAGTCCTTCACAGTTGTGGATGATGAAGGCTTAGCACTACTAGTATGATTTACTAACTAAACAACAAGATTTGGGCCAATGAAGGGTCAAGCAACCATTGTAACACTTCCCCCATTTCTCCCTTTGGGCTCATGTGTTATTTGACTGGAATCCCAACCTTCCTTGAAAAAGAGGTTTTATCTTCAGTCTAACTGTGTCCTATCATCATGCAAACATAGCTGAACAGTGATCTGCATGATTTTGCTGCAGTTCCTGAGAAGCTCTTAATGAACCTTGGATGTACTTGCTGAATCATTTTGGCACTGAATATTCAGGAGCAAAGCAGAATGTTCTTGGGTGAGAAGACCTCAGGTCTTGTGTGCCACCTTCTCAGCCATTTTTATTTCACGGTGCTTATATTCCACTCTTCCCAAGAACTCAAGGCTGCCTCCCACAAACGTCACCCTCACTAAAACTCCCTAAAACAGATTAGGCAATGCAATAAGAACTGCCCTGGTACATCTAGCCAGCTTTGCCCCAAGTGAGGATTTGAACCCAGGTCACTCCTAATCCAGCACATTAACATGTAGTTATAGTCTTGCAGATAACTGAGAGGAGAGGACAAAATAGAGCCCTAGGTGTCATTTTAGGCTGTTCCTTGTCCAGTGGTGTGCCCTCACGCAAGTGGGCAGGTATCAGATTTCAGAGCACACCAAAACATCTTTCCCTCACAAAGGAAAGGGTTTCTGTACATGTTCATTCACACCATTCACATCCTTACATTCATTTCAAAAGAAAAATCTAAATTATTTGGAAGAATAAAAATGCCACATACATTCAGAAACACAGCCTATAGTGCCAGAATTGTTTTACAAAGAGCAGTTGACAAGGGTTTGGAGTTGCTACTTCTCTCTTGGCCACACACAGTCACACCTTTAAGTTGGAGGTGAGGAACTTTTAGCTCAGCTTGTGTCTTGGCTATTGTTCCCATCAGCCACACCCAACATGGCCTGGAATAAAGGATTGTAGCAGCTGAAGTCTAAAAGACATGGAGGGCCAGAAATTCTGCTCTGTGCTTCTGCATCAAGTCTTCAGAGCTGGAGAAATATATAGAAGCAATCTCCCTCACTTATTTTTTTCCCCTTGCGATAGGACTCTAGCAAACAGGAAAACTTGTGCTGATTCCTCGATTTCTCTAATCACCATGACAGATCTTATGAATTACCAGAGGCTGGTCAGCTCTTCTGAACAAGGTAGCCTGTTAGGTTCAAACTAGACATTTAGGCGAATGTGCAGTTCTTCTGCTTACTTCTTCTGTGTATTTCTTCTCCTCCTCCTCCTCTGAGGGAATAACATGCTTCCACAGTGAAGACTTGCAAATTCAGCTCATCTTTTACCTTCTAAAGACCATTCACAAAGCCACAGCACCCTAAATGTAAAATAAGCAGTTGAAGAAAACCATGTTCTATGACAAACAATCTTTCTTCACCATTTGAGGGAGAAGTCATTGTCAATGCATGCTAACTACAATAATCTAATTTGAACCTTTGTAGGGCAAAAAAAAGTCCCATTTCTAAAGATGTTTACAAGAAGGCTAGCTGTTATGTTCAATGTCATGTAGCCTGAAATCCTGCCCAACTGAAATCATTTCAAAACAGAGGAATTTATTTCCAAGTACACATGTGCAGGGTTGTGCTGTTAGTTCCTAAACAGTTTTAAGTCGGGCTGCAGCCTCACGCCATGACCCAGTCCATTTTTATTCCGATCTCCCACTGTGATTAGTGGGCATTACTTCCAATTAAATGTATACTGGTGTGCAGCTTTCAAAGATAGAGTAGCTTCGGGCTGCTTTTGAGCTCTCAGCCCTGCAACCTGGCATTTGGAGAAGTAATGCACACTTACAAAATGTTGCCTCTTACCTCTTGTGCAACAAAGAGTATCTCTGTCCTAATTTTCAAGCAAGCTGGAAAGGGAGATTCCAGCTGTCACAAAATTGGTTCGTAGCAGGTCTCTGGCTAGCCAAAAGGCAGGCAATACAAGTCGATTTTAGGACAGATGAAAGTGTACCATGTGAAATAACATTTTTTCATTTGCATATTTTAACCAAATATATATAGCTTTGCTGTTTATTATTATTTATTACACATAGTATATTAATTGAAATTGTCAGGATGGAGCATATACACATTTACACACCGAAATCTTTATCAATCTCAGCTTGGAAATTTAATTTGGGAATGAATAATGCATCCATTTCTCAAGCTCATGTTTAACTGCACATCTCAAGCTCTTAAATCTTAGATGACAGCTACTGTTCAATTCATTTTACTGTATTGTGGTACACTTAGTGCACATTCTAAGAAAATGGAGCTGGTTTGTTTCAGTATTACAGGTATGTGAAGGAAGGAAGGTCATATATTTACCCTCTGGAGTTCTAATCTGAGTGGTGGAGGAGGGATGCCCCCCCCCTTTTCAATAAAATAGATTGGTGAAGTTTTAAATGTGTCAAAATGCTTTATCTGTTTACACTCTTTATTGGATGCAAAAGGTAAAGTGTCAGATAAGGTACCATCTGAGAATACAAATTCAGTTTAATGAGGGCAGGCAACTCATGTGTACCTGGATGGGCCTTATCTAATGTCTTTCACATTGCCCCACATTGAATGAATGAAGGTGTGTATTTCTGTCTTGTTTGCCTCTTGATATGGATAAGATATCTGGGATCAACACAGAGAGCTTTCCCTCTCAGGATAGTCGTTCCATGCAGCATCTTTATAGTGTACTGTATAATTATTCCTCGATTGGGAACAGCAATTGAGGGTGTTTTTTTGTTTCTGCTATACTTCTCCATCCATTATTGTGTAATTTAATCAAAATATCTATTATCACTCACAGCTATGCATATCTAGTCAAAGGTCCAACTGGGTTTAACTGAATTGACTCTCTAGTAAATGTGCTCTGCATTGAAGCCTTAGTCAACCCAGCATGTACTTAGAGGAATATAAACACAGGTTTGCTAATCTCACATCTGATCTTTGCTGCTTAGATTGTACTCCAACACCAGATTCTACATTTGTTTTATTACTTTCTAACAATGTAGTCATCTGTGATTCTACCAGTCACACCCCTTATATATTTTCCATTCTGGAGCTTCCCTGACAAATGAGATTCTCTCTTCTCCCTTGCCAATTTATCTGTTACATGAAGCATCCATAGTCACTTAGTTTTTTGCACATTTTGGATCTCTTGACGGAGGTCAGACATCAGGGCAAGGCTAAGCAGCTGAACCATGAAATCTTCGAAGTCAATTGGGTCGTCCTTGTTCTCATCAAGCCCAGACATTATTTCTTGGTATTTTGGTTTGGTTTCTTGACCCTGTGAAGGAAGGTGAAGCATTTTATGGCCAAATATAGAAGCCATATTTCAAGGTCTCTAGTGAGAGCTGTAAAGAACTAAAATATACATACCTCCCAAGAGGCCATTTAAGGAAGGCCTCTGACCACATTTTATCACATCTTCATTTAACACACTAAAGCATCACCAAGCCTTTTCCCTTCACACTCAACTCATTTGCACGAGCCAAATTTCATCAAGGAATTTGTTTCCTCTGAACTGGAAACTATAGTTACCAGCTTCAGTAGAAGCCTATGTACTGTATTAAAGTCAATTTTAGAGTAGGTTGTCCTGCTTCCAGCCAGGGGAACTTGAGAAATTTTCCTCAGCATAAGCTGTCAAGTGCTGAGCAATAATTCAGGAAGAGAAGGCAGGAATAGAGTCTGGGAAACATGCAAAGCAAGATCAAGGCCTTGCAGGCAACCAAGTACAGAGTTGCCAAAGGCAGAGCAAGTGACCCAAACTCAGCAGCCAAAAGAGACAAATAGAGAGTCTAGAAATAAATATGGCTGCTGGCAACTCATAGCAAAACAGTAAACTGGGTGCCAGAAGCAAGGCTTGGCTGTCCCACGCCTAGGCAGAATTAGATCTTTTGGTTTAGTGCGTCATCAATCTGTCCTAAGGTTTGAGAGTGGGCTGTTTATCCTTCAGTCTCCCTGTGGGCGGAGGCTTGCTCTGTCAGAAGTCACTTAGTCACTTGCTCTAGAACAAGCCACCATTCCTGAGGAGACTTCCCTGGTGCTCCACACTCCATCAGAGTGCCTCAGGTCTAGCCCACACCTTTATTATTATGCTCATTTAAACAACCACATTTTGAGACATCCAGTAGGGCTTTGTGGCCCTCAGTTGGATAGAGCTGCATATGTTAATATTAAAAAGAAACAAACATTACAAGGCAAGAAGCAATGATAGAATGCAGCATTATGCAGCATTATCTAGTAGAAGGGCTAGAGAGAGAGAGAGAGAGAGAGTCCACTTTGGGGAATGGAAGAATAGCCTGAATTAAGGCTACATCTAAACAAATGAAATTTGTAGTCTAGCAAATCAGTAAACTGATATATTCTCCGTCTTTCTTTAGTTTAGGATTTTAAAGATGAGAATTGGCATCCTTGGAAGCACAGTATACTGATCTGGTCCTGGAGTTTAAAACCTTGATGAAATCTCTTTACCATTGATGGTTGTTGTGGGTTTTTCAGGTTCTTTGATCGTGTTCTGAAGGTTGTTCTTCCTGAAGTTTCGCCAGTCTCTGTGGCCAGCATCTTCATAGGACTGTCCATGCTCTGTTGCTGTTTGTTGGATAGTTGAGTATTTATAGCTGTGGGAACAGCTTTTGTCTTTTTTCAGGAGATAGGGTGATCAGCGTGTTTTTTGTTGTGATAAGAGAGGAGAGATTACAGTGGGGTCTTGACTTGAGAACTTAATCCGTATTGGAAGGCGGTTCTCAAGTCAAAAAGTTCTCAGGTCAAATCTGCATTTCCCATAGGAATGCATTGAAAACCATTTGATCCGTATCTGCTCTTTTCCGTCCATAGAAACTAATGGGAAGCTGCTATTCTGCCTTCGACCACTAGAGGGAGATATTTTGTTTCTTTTTTTCTTAGGTCAAGAAAGGTTCAGGGAAGGCAGGGAAAATACAGTCCAGGCAGTAC